ATTGTCAAAATGTAAAAAATGTGATTTTTCACCTACACATAAGCAAACCATAAAATACTGGGCAATGAAATCAGTAATGAAAGAGCCGAAGATTTGTATGAGCAAGGATTATTCCCAATTCATCGCAAGCCTCAATCACAACTTTGTCAGCAGCAGAACCAGAAGGAGCAGCAATGTAGGCCACACCGCTAAAGGGCCAATTTTTAAGCAAACGATCATGTTCTTTCAGCTTCTTAAAGTAATTTGCCTCATTTCAAAAACAGAGTATTTTTTGCGCAAGAGAGTGAAAACAGAAGTGGTGTCAAGTGTGTAGGGAAACTAGCCTCTCGCCCCATGGTTGATAGGAACAGACATAAGTATAACCTTCTGGAAGCAAAATTTGCAACGTTAAAACAGCTGTAACACAAGCATATCCTTTGTGCAGCAATGCCACTGAAATAGTGTACATATACAAAAAAGACATGAGGATGCTCATGTCAGTACTACTTATAACATCAAAAAATCAGAAGCAACCGAGATGAATGTTGTTAAAAATATTAAGGTAATTCATGTTAATGGAGTACTCTGCAACTATTATAAAGAGAGAAAAACCTATAAAAAGGCTGGCTACAATTTGTTTATTTTATTTAGGAGATTTAAGTCTTACACAATGTGTGCAAATGTATGTGTGCGTGTGTATGGGCAGAGCTCCCGTAAGAATTAAATTATTCCTCATAAAGCCCTTACAATAGTACTCAGCAAACACTAAACATTAGGAAAAATTTATCAAAATGTGATGGTATACGCATAAAGAAAGTACAGAAGAATATAAGCTACGGGATAAACAGCGGTTCATTCTGAGAGGAGGGATTACGGAGAGTCCTTTTCTTTCAATACATTTGTGTCGTTTGACAATTTTTGACAGGATGATTTGTACCATGAAAATATTAATAATGACATGTTTTCTCCAAGATGAAGAAAACCTTGTCACTCAGGAGAGAACATCTTTCATCCTTCCATTTGCCTAGAATTTAGTTTAGGAATCCTAAACATTTCAAATTCATATGATGGACCAAACACTTTAGAAACATAGGAGATTTCTGGCAGCGCTAACCCACTCAGAGAATGTAAGTAAAGGGATAGAAGGAGAAGATATTGTCACGAATGTTGAACACGACAGATATTTCTTCTCCCTGAAAATCTGGGAGTCTTCTCTGGAGCCCGAGGGCTACCGGGAGCCAACAGAGGAAGCGAGGAGCGTTCATGCTTCCAAACCATCCCTTGACAGGTGTTTGAGGGGATCCTGCTCGTCACGTCCGGCAGACCAGCTGAGGCTGGGCCTCGACCCCTGCCTGAAGGAGCGGGAGGATGAAGCCAAAGAGAGACCTGACCACGCCTGTGAGGACTATGGGACGACTAGCAGGTTTTCTTAAAGGCTAAGGGTCTATAGACTTTCCTCCAAACCTCACAGGCAAAATCTGAGATGTGAGTCTTTGGGAAAATGAATAGGTTATGTGGCCATACAGGGACATTCCTGGGTTTGATAGAATAACCATGTCCTTGGTCACCTCATGGAATGAGCTAATAAACTAAGGATGTCCCTAGGCTTTTTCTCATTGTGAACTATTTTATATATCTATTACTTTTTTTCTGTTTCGCATCTCAGTTGACTGTTCAGTGTAATCAGAACTAAATTTTAAAATTTGGTCATGGCAGGAGGGTATCTGCCTCTTTGGGTGTGATTTTAAGGGGACTCTCTTAGTATTTCCTCACAAAGAATTAAGTGTTCCCAGGCTCTGGAAAATTCGCCTGTTATAATAGGCGAATTTTTATTCCCCTTTATCCTTTTGAAAAAATCAGGACTCAGTGTTGAAATATTTTTTCTCCTTTATTGACCGAATACTGAATTTCTCATTCCCCTTTCTGGTGTGATTAGATCAATTCCTAGAAGGAGAATTCTGGCCCCATGGATGACATACACAACTGTGTGAATCGGTTTACCTGAGAGTGAGGTGCCAGCACTTGATGCTATCAGGGCCTGCCTGACTCACAAGAAAGCTTCTAGAAGGACAGGTCATGAGATCATATCGTGGACTTTAACTCACCAGAAAGCAGTCCACAACTCCACCGCAGCACCAGCCACACTGAGCTCCAATCTATCTGCTCACTATTGTGCCTCTCTCCGAGACTTTTCAGGATGAAGGATGCTATCTCAGGCTACCTTATGCACCTAAGAACCCGTGTCGCCTCCCACATGGCCGGGTGGTGGAGCTACTTCTCTCTGCGCATACTGTATGTCGCTTGGACCCGGCTACCGCATAAGCTGCCATCGAGATCAGATTCAATAGAGGACATAGGGTCAGTGAGCAAGGAGGAGGAAGCACAAAAGCCTCTGAAGGTAAAGTCGCACTGTCCCTTTACCTCAGGATGGTGGGAAAGCGCTGATATAAAATATACCCAGGTCTGCCCCACACGGGCTTTACCTAAACTCTCCAGGATGGAAGAGGGGAAACAAAAGCACCCTTTGGTGCACCAATCAGTTATTTTAATCATTCCAAAAGCGAATCCTCAGTGGATTTTGTAAGAGTCATAGCTCACAAAATATTCTCACACAACCTCACTTGATCCTTGCCCTAGACCTCCCAGGGGACAGAACAGAGCCCGAGTTCAAATCCAGGAGTCGAACCCCAATATGAATTCCAGGGCTCAATTACAGGGAGGACAAGTGACCAAATCTCAGTTAGCCTCCTTTACCTGTAAAACTAGGTTAATAATATTTACCACACAGGATGTTTGTGAAGATCAAGTAACACGGTGACAATCAAAGCCCCTGGCAAATACTACCTGCTCAGTAAATAAGTCTGACTTCTCTTTCTTCCTATCCCACAGTCCTTCCCTGGGGCAATGCCACCATTAGAAGTTGCAGCCGCCATCCTTTGACAGGCGTGTGGCTCCCTGGCCGCTCCGGGCACACATGGCAGTCTGTGCCCATGACAGAAAGAGACTGGTGGCCGTCCCAGCACAGCTGGCCAGCACCTGGTGGGCTGCCTGAGTGGTTCTGCCTCGGTAGGAGGCTCTGGGACAACATTCCAGCTGTCAACCCTTCATCCTCCCCTACCTGTTTTAACCATGAGGAACTTCTCTTTCTTTTCTCAATCTTTTGGATATTGGTCTCACATCCATCCTTCAGATGTTTTTTAAGACATTCTCTCCAGGTGACCATGGCACAAGGACAGAATGGCCCAGCAGAGGGCTCTGGGCAGGGTGCCTCCCACATCCTCTTAGCTCCCCTCACTTACTCAACCTGCACATCTCCAGAGTTCAATGGGCAAGGCTTTGAGCATTTCTTTTCTGCTTGCAGGAAAAGCATAGTATTAATAATGGTTCTGGAACCAAGGTGCGTGGGTTCAGATCCAACTCCACCTCTCACCGTCTCTGGTGTGGCTCAGTAAGTATTTAACCTCCCTTTGCCCAAGTCTCATCCCTTGTAAGATGGGGATAACAACATAGGTTGTTGGGGGATTCAATGAGGCCCATAGTAGGTACTCAGTAAAATGTATCTCTTATTTATTTATATAAAAAACACCTTTCTATATAGATTGTGCGTGCGTGTGTGTGTGTGTGTGTGTGTGTAAATGTATTGTGAAATCAGTTCCAGAAGAATATATAGAGGACGGTTTATATTAGCATCCTTCAGGGAGCATGCAAAGGAGAACTTTTGATATGTACTTGTACCATTTTACAAGCATACGTTATTTTTGCAATTTAAACACACTTTTAAAAAGAACACACTTCTGGAAAGAACACATTTTTGAAAAGAACACATTTTTGAAAAGAACACACTTGGGTATGGTTGTAGAAGAGAAAGGGAGGGGAGGTGAAGAGGGGGAACGGAGAAGAAGAAAAATGATTTTCTTCAGGCAGAAGCCAAGGCTGGATCACAAAGCATCTTGACTGGCTAAGACATCCTACTTCTAGTTGCAGAGTTTCCAGAGCTCTGTAGGCAAAACCTTCTGCCATATATATATCAGCCATACACAAATTTCCTTCATATTTTCTCAAATATTCTGGCTAGGGGTAGGGCAGAAACCCAGCTCCACTGAACCAAGTCACCCTGGGCTGGAGAGGTAGGTCAGGGAGGCTCTGACCTCGTTCACAGTGGGAAGGCTGTCCAGACTCTTGGAGCACTTTAAGGAGTGAGGGGCAGCCCCTTGGGTCTCGGGAGAGTAACGGGGCACATCTAGGACAAATCCTATCAGACAGACAATGCTTCCAAGAGATCTGAACATGTTCCGCAAAGAAGTCTATACCCCTTTGCCAGGGAGGAATGAAGGAGGGCTCTGCCTCTTACCGTAGACTCTTCTATGCTGATTCGTTTCCCCAGTGTCCCACAGGACACAGACTGGAGCAAGCAAAGGTTTGTTTCACTACCTTCTGGGCAACAGCCCCCACAACGCTACTCACCTTTCCCCCCATCCTAAAATCTCAGGGCTATGTATAGCAAAAAGTCTTATCCTCTTTTGATAAAAGTTACATCACCAGAACACAAGAATAATGTTGCATATTCTTTTATGTAGCCAAGGTATTCATTTGGCCAACCCACATGTCTTTTTGAAGACATGTTTATTTAACTTCCTTTATATCACTTTTGATGGGTAAAAATCTAATCAGTTTACACAATGCATCCTCCAAGAAGCTTGCTTGCATTTCTAGAAAACCATCTACCATATACAACATGTTCTATGAAAGTTTATTTTCAAATTGTAGATGCTGTATCACTTCTCTCCATAGTCAGTATCTTCTGGGCCCTCACTGAAACAAATACACGTATTTCTGCTAGCAACTAGGAACATATTTCCCCCACTTTCTTAATGCCTCTGCTAACAAAGTTCCTGCCAGCCAATATGTCCTGTGGTCCATCTTATTTACAACCTGCTCCCAACCCTGACCAAACTCACCCAAAGGAACTAGATCTGCTGTAAAGGAAGATGTCAAAAAGGATCCTCAAGAAGTTGACTTACCTTTCTCATGGCTGTTTGGTGGTGGTGGTGGAAGCGGGGAGGTGACCGGTTTGGACTTGTCATAGTTGTTAAAGCTCTGGCTGCGTCGGTTGTTAGCAGTGGCTGACCCTCCACGTGTTTTGGCTTCGCTGCCTGCAGCGGATACCCTCGCAGTGGGACCTGGAAGTCTAAAATCCAAGAGCAACAGAAGGATGGATTCAGTCTCAGAGGAGCAGCAGTGTCTCAGAAGAAGGAACTGCAGTCATGCAGGAGGTAAACGAACCATTCAAGACATTGGGTCTCTGGAGGTTTGCCAATCAAAAGAGTTAGTGGAATCACTACAAACACCTAGGCTACTAAGGACCCCAGAAAAGTCCAACAGCAAAACTTGAGTTTGCCTTTGAGCAAAGGCAAATTCTGAAGGAAAAGTAAATGAACATGTTTGCTGATTTAAAAAAAAAGTTCATCTTCCTTTTTCTCTTGGATGAGTAATTTTACTTTTCAGTGGGGCCAAACCATGTCAACTCCAATTCTATGAAGTGTGGAACATAAAGGCCAATTAAGACTCTAAGTGTTTACCTTATTATGTGTGCATTAATACCTACCTTTGGTTTGTCATGTTTGTCATAATCCAGGGTTTCAGGGTCAAGAAAATGATGTAATTTATAATGGTCAGAAAAAGACTAGCTAGCACTCAGGACCCAATACAACTACAATGAGAAAACTTATGGCCTGGGTGGAAACATGTGTTGAGACATGTATTCTTCCTCAACACCTGACAACTTGTCTCCATAGGCATTACTTAGAGGCTGAAGGCCAGCTTCTCTGCACAGTAGATGGATATAAATAATATGTTCTTTCTGTAGAACCAGCAGGAATCCATTAACCTAAACACACACATACATGTTCTCTTTAAATGAAATACCTCTATTGGGGTAATTTGGGAAATAAGCTAGCAGACATCTTTGTAATAAGTCTCAAGATATTATGGCCTCCTCCCCCAAGAGTTAAGGTTAAGTCTCCCCAGATCAGGAACTTGGGTTCAGAGACTACAAAGCAGCCTGTTTCTAATCATTAAAAGTTGAAAGATGAATAAATAATGAAATAGTTCTATCTTTCAGCTAAAACCCACTTAACTGTGTTTAAAAGCCACTGGAACCTCTGCTGACCAGCATTAGATCTAGTGATAAGTCTGAACTTTCAACCCATAAAGCTTTCAACTTTCTCTTCCCATGCAAATCTAGTAAGCACCAAAGAGGTTTGCAGTCTGGAAGCATTTTACATATAAGCAGGCAATCACTTTAAACTTTTCTTGCTGGCTGAGCAAGAAAGATGGTTGTAGAATAAACAGAGAACATGAGCTAGTGTGAGAGCACTGTAAAATTTATACAGTTAAGAAGAAGGTGGCCCAATTCCCTGACTGGGAACTAGGCGAGAAGGAACGGGGTGAGTTCTCCCCGACCAAGTGGCAGAGGGAAGTGCACTTTCCACTGCACTGGGAGGATGTGCCCCTCTGTTAATTTACCCCATCTTGTTTGGAGAAAATATTCACCCCATAAAGACAGGCACAGAGTGGGGTACAAAACCAGCAGTGTCTTGGTCTATATTTGAATATGAGATGTGGCCAGCACAACTGGATAAGGAGGCCTAGGAATGGAATCTTGGTATGTCTTGGTTTTGCTTTGAGTACAAACAGCATCCAGTGAGGCTTCCAAGTCATTTTTAGTGGAGTACTGACAATTAATGGTAGGGATTCCGTAGGTGCAGATGTGGAGTCCTTTGGGCTGGACTCCTCTAACCCAGCTATAGTCTACAGGAGTCCTTATGCCCACAAACAGGCCTGGAAAAGCATTATAGCCTTGTTCCAAGATAATGTCACAGCAACTGTATGAAGTGGTACAGGGTAAAAGGCCATAGCATTCTACTTCAGAGGGGGTTTGCAAGGAATAGAGAAGCAAAAAGCAACAGGAAAGGAAAGATATATTCCTTTCGCAGAGCTGCTGAAGAGCCCCCACTGCCCTGACCCACGGCTGGACCACAGATTTTTCAGGGCAGTCAGGGCCATTAGAGAAAGAAGATTGATCAAAGCATCGGATGGAATGAGTATAACCTTGAATTGCGTAGGCAGTCTAGTCCTCTGTGAGGCAGTATGGAATAATGGATAAAATATGGGCTTTTTCCATACACATGAGAGTGGACCAGTGTTATAATCTCTCCAAGATTCATGTTCCATATCAGATAACTTTGGAATAATAATAAACTATCCAATAGGATAGTTGTTCATTTGGAATGGGGCTTAATGTCTGGCCTATTATAAGTACTTAATGCATGTGAGTTCCCCTTCTCATCCTCTCTGCTGAGCATGAATTCATAAATGAATTCGGCATTGTAATAAAGGAAAGATGCTTTGGTACAAAAAACAATCAAAATAATGGAGGAAATCGATGGATCTAGATGAAAGTATCAGAAGAGAGAGGACAAAAATCAACATAAGAAAGTCTGAGATCTACATTTTCAAAGAGGCAAGCCAGGTTTTGGCAGATGGTACTCATTTCCCTAAGAAACATTCCAGAAGAGAAATTGCTTCATCCAAGTATCTGTGATGGAGACCTTATACTTAGGGTACCTCTGAGCCATCTGTAGGCCCCAGTCCCCAGAATGAAACATTCCTGGTCTTGGATCAACCAAGCCAGTTCTGGTTTCCCATGGATGGTCATCATCAGATTCTCTGCACTGAGTCAGGACCTAGAGGTGCACCTCTGATGGGATCGGCCTAGCCTTCAAGTGGCTGCAGGGTTGTGACCAATTTCCTAGGACATGGAGAAGGAGCTCTCGAAGGCCTTGGAGGCAGCTGATATGAAAAAGGAATGGTCAGCACATATTTGGGCATCAAAAGCCACCCCAATGTTCAAGTCAATTCATGTCACCTTCTACCTCCATCACTGTTACACCTTAGTCAGGACAGCTCCTTGAACTTGACCAAATGGAAAGACTAGGTAGAGACCAAGTAATTCCTTCCAAGTTTCAGAAAGTGTCTAGATGCTTTAAAACATGGGTTTTGTTGTGAATGGGCTTGAGTAATTGCTTGCTCCAAAGCAAGCCCCCTACCAACCCTCTGAAATTTCCAGCAAAGTGCACCTAACATACAAAGGCCTTGAATGAACGTGTGGTGGGTAGGAAGTAAGGAAAAAGGCTTGTTTGGATCGACCCATGAGGGAACCAAAATATTCTTTGGGATAGTGAGTCAATTCCCTCAATTTAATTCAGAGTGAATTATAAGATTTCAAATGTAGCATTTCAAAGACAAAGGTGACCTTGAGGACCTAAGGTACATGAGCAATCATGGGGAAGGCACTGGGTTTTCTGAAAATTGAAGAAGAGTTTTCTATGGTCTGAATGTTTATGTTTCCCCACCCCAAATTCCTATGTGGAAATCCTAATGCCCAGTGTGATCTCGTTAGGAGGTGGGGCCTGTGGGAGATGATTGGGAGATGATTATGTCATTACACAGAACCCTCAAGAATGATATTAATACCCTTATAAAACATGGTGCAGAATACTAGCTGGCCTCTTCCACCCTATGAGGACAGAGTGAGAAGTCAGCCATCTGCCACCTGGAAGGTAGTGCTCACCAGAACCCAACCAGGCTGGCATCCTGATCTTGGACTTCCAGCTTCGAGAAATGTGGACAATAAATTTCTGTTGTTTATCAGCCACTGAGTCTGTGGTATTTTACTATGGTAGGCCAGACAGACAGAGGGAGGGTTCTCATTCATTCTCCTCTAGATCTTAAGGGACTGACTGATCCCAGATGACATCTAAATTACATATGTATTGATAAAAGAATATACAAAGGTCAGAAATAATTCAGAGAAGGAAAATGATAATCTTGGAAGTTGGTGGGATGGCCAGCGAAGGTTCCAAATAGATGGGACCCCAGAGGAAGATGTGGCACATGGAACAGAAATGTGAGTGGAGGGCAAGAGGGTACGGAGTCAGGATGAAAGGTAGAGGTCTCCTGAAGAGGAAGGAAGGGCTGGTGTGTGCTGGGGAGTGGGGGACAGGCTGGGAGGAAATGAGGCTGGAGAAGCAGGCAGGGCACGAGTAGAGAAGTCCTTGTGTGCCATAATATGAATCTGGACATTGTCCTGGCCTCCAGCAATGAGGCATTTGTTAGGGAGGCTGGGAGCAGAGCTAGAGCAGAAAAGGAGAGTATATATCCTCTGGTTCACAGTAACACAGACCCAGCTCACATTCCCAAGTTCATTACTGTTAACATCTTCAAGCATCACCAGAACTGCTATCAAGTCCCAGCCTGGAAACAGTTGCTACCTGTACGTTAGCATCCCTCTTCTCAGGAGAATTGGGTCTTGCTCATGTGGACCAGCAGGGAGAGGGGAGCATGTCAAGTCAATTCTGCATCATTTATGGTGCCAGAATGTTCCAAGGACTCCTTTGCCAGAACAACTCTACTTCTCAAGATCATTCCATGTTCCAAACATAGTTACAAAATGACAGAGGGCACAGATGGGTTCTTTGAAACATACACATGTTGCTTTTCCAAAAAAAAAAAAAAAAAAAAAAAAAAAAGTAAATTTAAAGGAAGTGGTGTTAAAAAGAGGCAGAAGAGAAACCCCGCTGCTGTTGGAGCCATGGCTGATTTCGTCAACATGTTCAGAGCCAAGCAGGCAGGGTGGTAAGTAGTCACTGCTGGCACATAACCTGTGAGCGCATCCCAGCTCCACACCCTGTGCACGCTGTTGGGAAGAAAGACCTTCTTCCCCGCAAAGCCACTTGAAATGGAGAAGATGGCCCTCCCAGGAAGGATGGTAGCTTGTGGGCACAGGTTTGGGATCTCAGGTGGAAGGTGTGATCAGAGGTGCTTTTTTTAGCCAGAGGAGATCATTAAATGCTAAATATCTCATCTCCATGGCCTCTGCTTTTCAGCAGCTAGACAAAGAGGACAGAAGTATGAGCCCCACCGCTTCCTCGCCATAAGACGGTCATGTAGACCAGCTCCATGGGGTTTTGCTAGAGGTGGCCTGGTGGCCCCAGCTGGCCCAGATCAACCCAAAACACCAACGTCACTGCATCTGCTGGTTATGGTGCACTCCTTATGGGCCAGACATAAAAGGGTTGGGGTGATTTTACTTGATCCACATCACACTGAATGAGGCAGTGAGGAAACACGGGCTCCTGGAGAATAAATGATCTGCCCAGGTGATGTGGTGAGTTGTGAAGAGGGGCTTTCGGTAGGTCTGACTAGCCGCACTCACAGCCGCCATGCCTCCATGTCTCTGCAGATGGACTATTCCTATGAACCTGGCACCCGCTGGTCTTGCCAAGGGAACATAATTGTAGTTGAAGGCAGAAATTTCTGGAAAACCTCCATCCCTGTGCTGATTCCTCCATAAGCCTCTTCCCTGCATCCAGACTCCTGGGTGAGGCTTCCCACCCTATTGGATACCCCTGGTGCCTCTTGAAGTGTTTGACTCCGCCAGGTGTTCCAGCAATGTTTGCACTTGAGTGAGATCTATTTCCTGAGCTCTGGGAGAGGTGCCTTGCTCCATCAGCAGGGGTAAGGCTATTTCTTTTGGTGGCTAACATTATGGCTCCATTTGGTGATGCCTGGATCAGCTAAAATGCTTATCAGAATTGTGTTCAAGGCTGGGGGTGGGAAAGGGAGGGGGATAAGGGAGGGCAAGGAGGATTATTAGGCAAATAATGAAAGAACATCCTTTCATTAGCCTCATCAGAGACAAAAATGTATCCAAAAGAAACTCTAGGTGGGGGGATGTGGCCCTGAAAGAAAGCCAGACCTTGGCATTCAGTCAGTTTGGAAGCCCTAAACCCAGCACACCCTGGGGGAGGGGCAGACATGGCCTCACCCTTCAGTCCTTCCTCTCTTCCCACTGCCTCCTTTCACCATCCGGGACTGATAACAAATCATCCCGCGGTGGCCCTGTGCCTCAAGCAGATATTTCCCCCGGCAAACTCCTGTTTGCTTTATCTTCTAGAACGGAGCACATCGTGGGAACAAACACTGGATTTCAGGTTCCCTCCAAGCTCATCTCCCTCCTTTCCTTTTGTCCGTGAAAGAATTTCAATCTACACTGGAACTGGAGGATAGGAAATGGAGCATCTCATGCACACGCCCTCAAAAGAACGGCACTTAAGAACGGGGAGGCTGATTTCCCATAAATGTCTGATTTATGGATTATGGAAACTTATCTCTTGACCGATGCACATCTGCCAGAATTCCTCTCCACCCTCAAACTGATGAACATACTGCTTAGACTCTGGCTGGACCCTCACATGTCCCCTTGCACTCCTGGTCCATCAATACAGCACACCCCAGGGGCACCTGGGTGGCTCAGTGGGTTAAGCCTCTGCCTCCCGCTTAGGTCATGGTCTCAGGGTCCTGGGATCCAGCCCCACACTGGGCTCTCTGCTCAGTGGGGAGCCTGCTTCCCCGCTCTCTCTGCCTGCCTCTCTGCCTACTTGTGATCTCTCTCACTACGTCAAATAAATAAACAAATAAATATCTTAAAAAAAAAAATAGAGCACACCCCAAATCCTCAATAGACTCACTTGTTTCTTGCTCTGGCATGTGTTTCCCAAATTGCAATTCCTCTGCTATTCCCAAATAAACTCAATTTGAGTTTGGTAATTTGAGCTTGCCTCAGTTTACCTCCTTATTTAGGTTGACACCTATGTAGGGACATCTGCACCACACTCAAAAACTGGGAACCCCGTTTGCCAGGGCAGTTGGTGTCCGAGTTGGACCCTGTGTTACTTTTCAGGGAAAGCAGGCACTCTCTAGTATGCTGTTATGACCTGGGTGTTTATGTCCTCCCGGCTCCTGCCCCAATTCATGTGTCATAACCCTAATCCCTGGGTGATGGTATCTGGAAATGGGGCTCACGGGAGGGACTTAGGTCATGAGGTTAAAGACCTCATGATGGGATTGGTGCTTTATAACAAGAGAATGAATGGGGCTTGCTTCCTCTCGTGCTGCTCCCTATGTGCGGACACAGCAAGAACACGGCCACTGAAAACCAGGAACAGGGCTCTCATTAGAACCTGACGGAAGGTCGTTCTGACCTTGAACTTCCCAACCTCCAGAACTGTAAGGAAAACATTTCTGTTGTTTAAGTCACCCAGTTTACAGTGATTTGTTCTAGCACCCCAAAATGACAAAGCACAAGATTATGAGAAGCACTGATGAATGTGGGTTCCCTCCTGTCCCCCGGAACCAAGTCAGTGTAGTATCTGGACTTGGTCTACAGAGAGGCCACTGCCCTGTGGCTTCTTGCCAACAGCCAGGCAGATCCCAAGTCGGGTCTCCCGATGTGTAACCCTTTAGAAAAGGAAAAGAAGACTCTGGCTAGAAAAGAGACCTAGAGCTTGACGGAGTGGGGCAGCAGGCTATATTCAGAACGTATTTGCCACACAAATACAGATACAAATGCAGTGTGGGTCTCCCTTTAGCTTTAAGTGAGAATTCAATGAAAAGTAAATGAAGCAATTCCACCCCAGCATTGGGTTCTGTTGGGATGTTACAAGTGGAGGCAAAAGACTGAGGGTAATGTCTGAAATCAAAGATTTTTAAAAGCAGCCTTGACAACCCCCTAAGTACCAGATTTCGAGGGGGAGGAAGAGAGAAGTGTAACACAGTGGTTAAGGTGAGGGTTCTAGAGTAAGATACCTGGGCTCAAATCCTGCTTTTATGTACTTTCTGTGTCACCTTGGGTAACTTACCTAACTTCCTCGATTTTAGTTTTCTCATCTGTAAAATGGGGACAATACCATGATCTGCCACATGAAGACTGACTTGAGGATTAAATAAGAGAATGCATTCAAACTGGTGCATAATGAAATTAAAAAATGTTAGTTCTTGCTACTTTTAAAAGAACAGTGGATCCCAAAGACATGACCGGCATTTTCCGTACCCTGGAACGGGTCCTCCTATGAGGCCGTAGATGCAAAACTCTGTGTCAAGAGAACTAGTTAGTGAGCAAGGCTGATTTTTATTTTTAGGAGACTGAGGCAAACTCTCCAAGGTACAAAAGAGCATCCAGAAACGAAAATGAGACAGAGCTGCCTTGCTGCTTTGTCTCCTCCCACCAATGGGAGTCATGCTTCCATTCTTTCTAATTCAAAAGAAAACCAATCCCACATTAGTAATTTTAGCAATAACAGCAACAATAAAAAGCACCACACACACACACAAAAGGGATGCAGGTGAGGTGGGATCAGGGCCAGGCCAGAGCAGGGAGCCAAGCTCATCATAAAACAACTACAAAATCCACCTAGAAACTTACCTCTCCCTAAATCAGAAAGGATTTTGATGAGTGAATAATCAAAGGCCAACTCAAAGAGATGCAGAAGCAGTATGTACAGCTTCATCTCACATAGGCTCTGACACACACATACACACTCCTTTTCAATGATGTCTCCCCCACTCCCCCAGACACTCAAAACTCTCCAACATTGGGTCATTAGCCAAAGCACGTTTGGTTTGCTCAAACCGCAAACATGAAACAGGGAGAGGGACTGAAAGGAAACTTAGCCAGAGCAAAGGGATCAATGAGTTGGGTTGAAACCATGCTTTGCAGGACACAGAAAAATCTAACCTAGAAATCTTTTTCTGACCCAGAGTGAAGCGGATGATTTTGCTTTGAGATGAGTCCTTGGATGATGCACTGCATGATGGGAAAGAAAAACAGTAGAAGAGATGAGTGAGGGGAGGGAAGATACGTTAGACACACACACCACTAATAGGAGTAGGTAACAGTGGAGATGGCTGGTTCGCCCTCTGCCCACTTTTCCTACAATACACAGTCTTCCTTCCGGCTCTAACTCTTCTGATGTGACAAAACGCCAATGTGAAGAAATTACTATCAAGATTATCTAAGAACTTCTGTGATTTTTTTTTTTTTTTTTTAAACGCCAAACATCTTTTCTGCTACTTGGGACATAAGGCTTCTTCTTCCCCTCAGAAGACACCAAAGTGAGGGGTGTCTGACAAGTAAACAAACTTTATACCTTTCTAAGAGTATCTAAATGTTTCTGTTTCACATACTTGTTCTACCAGCGTGTTTTTCAGGTAAATGTGCCATAAAATGTTGACCCAAAACAAGGGTATAGATGTTTGCAAGTTTTGCTGCTCTTGGGAAGATTCACTCTCAGTGGTATAGAAATGCTCATTTAAGGGGCGCCTGGGTGGCACAGTTGGTTAAGCATCTGACTCTTGGCTTCGGCTCAGGTTGTGATCTCAGGATCATGGGATCGAGACCCGCATCCGGTTCCATGCTCAGCTCCAAATCTGCTTAAGATTCTCTCTCTCCTTCTCCATCTGCCCCTCCCCACTGAGCTTGCTTTCTCTCTCAAGTAAATAAGTAAATCTCTCTCTCTTTCTCTCTTTTTTTTAAAGAAATATTCATTTAAAGACTTCTGAACTTGCAAAGTTCTAGGGTTTGGATGAAAAGTCTGTACATGTCGGGGTGCCTAGGTGGCTCAGCGGGGTTAAGCCTTTGCCTTCGGCTCAGGTCATGATCTCAGGGTCCTGGGGTGAAGCCCCGCATTGGGCTCTTTGCTCAGTGGGGAGCCTGCTTCTCTCTCTCTCTCTCTCTCTCTCTCTCTCTCTCTCTGGCTGCCTCTTTGCCTCCTTGTAATCTTTCTCTGTCAAATAAATAAATAAAATCTTTAAAAAAAAATCTGTACATGTGAGGAAACTTGATTTGGTTTAATAGAAAGGTAAACTTACTTACTGCCTTATAAAAGGTAGAAATATTTATCTTTCTTGTATCCATACACCCTATACCATGTTCATCCTATACTGACCTGTGTATCTCGACACATATTCTTTGGAACCCTATGCAGCAGTCTCAGGTGAGAAAGACAATGTTGGTGTTACTAGACTCTGGAAGTAAAGGAAGAGAGAAGAGAGAATACAGAAGAAGAAAAGAAATGAAGCAATTACCAGGATTTTTCCTGACCAGTTGAATATCAGTAATACATATGGTAGACATAGGTGGAAAGGAAAATGAGTCTTGGGGACTGTGCTCCTCTCCTGGACTCTGCACTGGTAAGGAATTTCAGGAGCTAAAATGCAGATCAAGTTCTTGGCCTCACATGGATTAATAAGAAGAGCTGAAGGGAAGAGGTAAACGTGAGCCTCCATCGGGCCATCATGGAGGAGCTGCTCGGATTCCCTCGTGCCAGCAGCTCAAATTGCCTTTGCCAGCTTCCACGACTCCTTTCTTAACAAATTTCATGGAAAAGCTGCCAGGTTTTAGTATTTCCTATCCCAAGAGGTGCAGTGTTTAGGCACGTGTGTATCTGGCACAGTTCTAACAGGGGACTGGAACTTGGCGTTCCAGGCTTGCACCAACATTTGTCACCGATGATCAAGGGTCCAAACCATTACCCTTGGGACTCTGGTTACCAAAGACAAAATGTGGGATAGAAAAATACAATGGAACTAAGCCAGTGTTGCCATTTTACTACTCTTAAATTTACAGCCAGAGCGTAAGCATGGGATATTAGATCCCTAGAACTTGAGGATATGATCGTCCTTTGGAAGTAAAATTAGAATCAGTATATAATGTGGGAAACCATTCACCTGTGGAACTAACCCAATCTGGGCCAGATAAAGGATGAGGGAGGACACAGAGCAACTCCAAAGGCCAATCCATGTCATCACGGTACTGAGTCAGGGGGCCATGATGGTTAAGAATCACTCTGGAATAAATGGATCCTGGCTTAAGTAAGTTTGGCTCTTCTTTAGGTAAAGCCTTTATTAACAGTAGAACGTTTCTTCTTACTGAGAGATGGGTGTCCTGACTGGAACATCTGGTTTTCTTAAGAAAACATACGCCTTCCACTGGAGTGGGTGCCTCGGGCTAGCATAGCTTAGTGACACAAGCCAGGCATTGCTCAACACATGTTCCTTGGAATCCTGTATGCAGTGAGAAGATCTACAAAGTAAGCTCTGAGGCTAAGTTGGAGGAATGCTTTCTATGGCCCCTTCTGAAGATTCACAGTGCACACATGTTCTTCTCTCAGGCTCCCTCACCTCAATAAATAGCACCATTTACCACTGCTCATGCCAGGAATCCAGGCTTTATCTGTGATGCTCTCCCTCACTCCAGCCTGTCCATCGATTCGCAGCCCTGTTGGCTCACCCTCGTGAAGTGGTCCATCAACAGATCTGCTCCACCCCTTGGTCCAAGCCACCATCCCCTGGAGGACTACAAGAGCCTCTTACCTGGGGTCCTTCCTTCCATCTCTAGGCTTCCTAGTCTTATTATCCAGAGAGGAGCTAAGAAGATTTTTTTAACTCTAAATCAGATCAAGTCTCTCTTCTGCTCAAGAACCCCCAGTGGGTTCCTGCTACCTATAAAATGAAATACAAACTCTTTCCCCAGTTTAGCTAGCACACTGTGACTAGACCTCAAGCTCATGGCACTAGGCTACTGCAGGGACCACCAGTCATACTATCTTCCATGTAGATGGAGGCTTTGCTTTGCATGTCATGTTTTCCAACTCCCCTCACCCACTGAGCTCCAGCCACACCAGCCTTCTTTCTGGTCCTCCAACCTGCCAAGCTGTCTCTTACACCACAGGGCCTTTGCACCAGCTGCAACCTTTGGCTGATCTATTCTACACCTAAACTTCACATGGCTTGCTCCATGGCATCCCTATCTCTACCCTGGTGTCATATTCCCAGAGAGAATCTCCTAGCAGTCCAACCTAAATTATCAACCTAATCCTTCTGAATCCCATCATCTTATTGTAGTAGCACTATCTGATAGTTCTCTTCCCTATTTTCCTGCCTCCTCTAGGAAAATCCAAAGAGTAGGCACATTAGTGGTCTCATTCATCTTTGAACCCCAAGTGCCTAGAACAGTGCCTGGCACACAGAAGGCATTCAAACACTAACTAGACAAATGAATGCATTTTTGGCAGATTCAAGGATCTGAGTAGACCTGTAGTAACAGTTCTAACTCAACCCAGATTATTTACCAACTTTTCCCCTTATGGAGACCTTCTCCTGCAAGTTACCATCCAGGGAATAAGCACCCTGTAGAATACAGTGTGGGCAATGAGATCCTGGTCATTCAATCACCCAGGGCCATCAGGGACCTCGGATCAGAGGATGGCTCGCACTCAGGTGGTTCTTCAGGTCAGGTGCAGGGGCTCGCTGCCTGGCTCTCTGTTCCTCATTACTAGTCCAGGCATTTCTGCTTGCCTATAAATTTCCATAATGTAAATTGGATATAATTAGATAATTAATTAGGGGATTTACAACACATCCATCACTCCTGGTTTTAACACCATCACAAGTGGGAAGTAGCACTTCTCAGGGGAAGGAAAAAGCGGTAACCATCTATAAGGCACCTGTTTTGTCTGGAACTGTTCTGTGCTTTGTCCAACTACAACGGGCTGCTGAGGGTACAAAGGTGTGCGAGAAACCCTATAGTTATCAACACTGGTGCTTTGGGGGACTGGAAAGCAAAAGTCATTACTCTGCAGCACATGTTAAGTGAAACCAAGCAATCAATTTAATTAGTGACATCTAGATGATTTGCTAACTAAAGGTTTACAGCTTTAAACAATTACTGTGGACTTTTCTCTAGAATTTTACTCTAAGTCAAAAACCTTCTAGCTCCAAATCCCCATTCTTCCCCCTCTGCCATTAAAACGAATGTTCTACAAGGTGATCTTCTGCAGAGTTGTTGAGGAATGCAACTTTTCCCAATGTAACCCAGTAGGTGGTAAGCACCCTGGCCCTGTGCTGGCATATCATCCTACACCAAGAGCTCCACTGGCAGGCATCAGCCCCCCCCCCCCCCCGCCCCGGAATGTGAGCAACACTCACACCCCAATCCTACAAAACAGAGAACCACAGCTGAGGCCACTAACCACTCTCATAAGGTTAACAAAACCCAGTCCCCGGTCCTCTCTGGGAAGGTGGCTGCCCCCTTCCTTGCTAAGCATTGCCCATCTTTCTTCTGTGCTCTAGATATTTCTCTTCTGGTGCAGCAGAGGCATCTACAGCAGAACTTCTGCCTCCACTAAGCAGAATGAGTCACGCATAGAACACTGAACACCCAGCTTACAGGCAAACATGCAAAACCAGTCTGAAGTCTATTTTCAGGGCTGTTCATTGCCTAGGAGCATGTGCAACACAGGCCAGGGCTAGGCAAGAGCAGCTCATTAGCTCTGGCTGCTGGCCCGTCTGACCTCTAAAAGTGCACATCTCCGCCAGGCACAGGAGGCAGCCCCGCCGCATCCGGTCCAAGGTCAGGCTAATCCCCCCACTACCAGTAGTCTTCAGCACAGAAGGGGCCCAAAGGAGAACATTCTTGGCCTCAGCTGCAGTGGGGCCGAGGGTGGGGGGAGGGTGGGGAAGGGCGCCCTGGGGACCATGGAGTCACAGGGCGGCAGGGAGCCCCCACCTGGACTGCATCTCGGCTTGCGCTTTTGACTGCTGATGTGTCGCCGGCTGGAGAGGCTGGCCCGGGGCTTGGGGGGTGGCCGGCCCCTGTTGCTGAGGGGTGCCAGCCTGGCACTGGGAGGGGGCCCCGGCCGCCTGGGCCACGGCGGGCAGTGGCGGCGCAGAGAGATGCTGCTTTTGGGGCTGCTGCTGCTGCTGCTTGTATCGGGAGAGGCTGAAGAAGAGGCCTAGGATGGCCTTGAGGTTGCCATTCCTGATTTCTGCAAGACAAGAAAGAGATGCTTTTAGACACGGAGTCCCAGCTTGGGAGCCCTTTCTCGCTCACGAGTTTCATTTCTCCAGGACAGGACAGGTTTCCTCAATACTTCCCCAGGGATCACAATCTGGGGAAGTCAGGCCTCGGCCACAAAGAAATTAGCTGCTTCTCCCCCACTGGGATTAGAGCGGATACACGAGGCAAGTTGCAACTGGATGCCTGGCAGGTGCCAGGAGGAAATTCTCAGCAAGGACACAACCAAAAAAAGACTCCTGAGCAAGACCGTGCTTGTTCTCAGGCAAAGCAACCAATCTGAGACAGAGGTGCTCCCCAAGCGCTGAGGGGAGACCCGCTGGTCTCCACCTGGCAGCTCGGCCCAGTCCATGCTCTGTGCCCCTAGTCACTTTCGTTCACGCCAAGGGATTCCCACCTCACTCAGAAATCCTCACTCCGCTCTACCCAACCATCCTTCCCTCAAACACATGGCTCTGTGTCTCCCTTGTCTACTAAATCACTCATTTGGGGTGGGTGTGGGGATTGGCCATAGGAGTTGCTTTCATAAAGAACTCACACAAAATTCTGTATAAAAAAAAAAATGAGAACAGAGTGGGGGTAAGAACATTTTTATTCCAAACACAATTTTTTTAGCTGTTAAAATGCATTTGCCTCAAGGCATGCATAAAAAGCTGCTGAGAAGGAATAAAATATTTATTCACAGGCAGAGGCTATGGTTCGAGGGTGTTTCTCCTCGGGGAATCCCTTCTTTTATGTTCTTTTAACACCAGATGCAATGGCCGGGGCCTGAACCGATTCTGAGGGTAAAGTAATAGGGCCACCCAACCCGAGAGACAGGAAGAAGGAATCTTGGGGGCTCCCTCTGCTTTGCTTCTATCGGAGGCTGAATTTCTTTCTCTAAACTGGCGAGGGGGTTAGAAGTAGTGGGGTGGAGGAAAGGGCACATCCCCTGTGTGGGGAATGCACATGTCCAGGTTCGCCCCGGGGCTGGGAAGAGACGGGACCCTTGCACAGCAGAGGGTATGAATGGGATCCTTTCAGAAACAAATCCCATTCCCTGCAGGCCTGCCAGTGTCTTGGGTGTGATCTGAGCAGGCCAGGCTGAATGACTGCCCCAAGAAATGGCGATCACAGCTGACGACACAATGTGGCTCTTTGCGTCTCACTGGCAAGACCGACACAGCTTTCCCATCACACAAGGTGGTCCTACAGATGCAGTCAGAGCCTATCTGTGTAAGTGCACAGTGAACAGTGAAGGCCTTCTCGGGACCTGGTTGCTAAAACCCCCCCCCCCCCCCCCCGGAATCCTGGATGAGATTCCCATACAGGTCTGGGCTCGTGCCTTAGAAACAGTTTTTACTGGGGTCATCTTGGGACTTATCACGCAAACCATGATGCTTCTGAGAGTGAAAGGGGGGAGCTTTTAATTAGGCCAGGGGGTCAGGTGTAAGCTAGGGCTGGCCCGGGCAAAGGAGGATGCTTATAAACCACCATGTGCAATCTGGGGAGCAGAGAAAGCCCCATAGAGCTGGTGGAGACCCCCAGGTTCTGGAGGTCGTTCAGCTGGCATGCAGGTTAGCACCTGTTAAAGAACCTGGGGAACCACTTACCGCCTCAAAATTAAAGTCACAGGAGGGAGAAAGTAGAGCTAATCATGGGGATTGGCGAAATCTATGTAAGATTTATTTTTAGTACCTTTGATCATTACAGGTTATACAGTTTATAAGAACAAGGACTACCACTAATTAGTATGTATCAGGTTAAGCTCTTAATAAGCATGATCTCATTCAATCTCTACAATCTGGGAAGTGAGTATTAACGTCTCTCTTGTACAGAAAAACAGCATCTCAGAACGGTTTTAGGACCTCTCCAAGGAAATACATTACGGAGCTCGGATTTGGGATTTGAATCTAGGTTTTCCCCTCTCAAAGCCTGGTCTCCCCACACTGTGTAACTTGGCTTTACTTGTCTACCCATCATGTGTGGTAAATTTAAAAGCACAAGAAGATAATGTTTTATTTATTAAGCTAGCTGGTGGGCATACAAGTATTCTTTATCTTTCTGTAAGTATTCTATGATTATGGAATGTTTGGTACATTCCATAATACATTTTTTAGAACCACGTAAGAACAACAAAGAAGGGAGGAACTATAAAGATTCAGCACACGCAGGGGCGGACGGGTTGTCTCTTGAGAGAGGCAAGCATGTCCACATCAGCATCTCCTGGCAGGCCAGTCCAAGCCAGGGCAAAAAGAGACAGCTTTGTCGTATTCTCTACCCACTGTGGTTGCTAAGTCCCTTACTGTTCATAACTCAGCATCAGTCCCTAAGCATCACTTTCTCCGTCAAAAAACAGTCTTCCCACACATATACTTCTTCTTGGCAGGGGGGATTTTCATGATAAAGATCACTGATTTTTTGAGCCAGAAAGACCCGGGTTTGAATCTCAAAAGTTCATCATTTATAGACTGAATTTTCAGAAGACTCAACCTCTTGGGGCCTCTGTTTTCTTCTTTAAAACGGGCATATGCCAAACTGCACATTTCCCACAGGCTTGTTACGGGAATTAAGTGACCACTGAATGAGAAAATGCATGCAAAGCACCCAGGACGCCGCCTGACTCTACTTCCCATTTTGGTTCAGAAAATACGGCCCCTCTACCTACAGCCTCCTCAGAACTCAACACAGGGCTCTGTCCCTAACAGAAGACTAAGAAGCTGCCCATCCCCCCTGCTCTTTCCCCCTGAGGCCACAGTCACAGGCATGGAGAAGGAAATTAACCAGGAATGATCTCATATTAGACAAAAGACAATGGGGAACTTCCGATTTGGGTTTTTTTTGGTTTGAGAAAGAGAGCCCTCACACGCATGCGCCTGTTGGGACAGGGGGAAGGCAGAGGGAGAGGGAGAGAGAGAATCTCAAGCTGACTATCCACGCCCGGCCCGGAGCCTGACACAGGGCTTAAACTCACAATCTTAAGGTCACAACTTGAGCCAAAATCAAGAGGTGGGACACCTAACCACCCAGGTGGCCCCCGTTTCTCTTTTAAACAGCTTTACCCAGGGGCAATTTGTATCCAGAAAATTAAGTGTGTGATGATTTTCAGCCACTTCAGTGAATTGTCACCTTTGCCTATTCCCATCACCCTAAACAGAGTCCTCCGGCTCATCCGCAGTCAGTCCCCAAACCCATTCCCAGGCAATGTCGAATCTGCTTCCTGTTTCTATAAGCTTTGTCTCTTCTGGACACTTCCTGGAAGGGGAGCCATATAACATGTAGTCTTTTGCATGTGGCTTCTTCCACGGAACATGTTTTTAGATGACCCACGTTAGAGCATTTGTCATTAGTTTCGTTCTCCGCATTGCTGAGTAACCCCCAGTTGTATGGACAGACCACATCTTCCAGGCCCGCTCCCCAGGTGGTGGATGTCTGGACTGCTCCCTTTTCTTTTCAGAGCACAAAAACTGGAGAGGTGCAGATGCTCTGTTTGGGATTGGAAGCCACAAAGTTTTTGCCATGGGTGGTCTACAACAGACAGTACCCAAAATAGCTGGAATTGTATTCTCCCCACATTTCCGAGGGGAGTGTGTCTGCATTCCACGAGGCCTGGTAAGCGGGCGGCACCGACCGGCAAACGACAAAATCCATCGGCCCACAAAAAAATGTTTCCTTCATGACATTTCCCAAGATTTGGAAAAAGAGTATCATTTTATTTCGGATCAGCTGTCCTCATTCTAGAATTCTAGAGAAAGGAAAAAACCACAGACCTAGCTAGAATGGACTCTACACTAGCTAGCTGGTGTCTACCTCTGCCTGAGAACCCTGATGGCATTTCTGCTTGTGGCCACACCCACATCCACTGAACGGGCTACAGCAGTCATTTTTCCATTCCCAATAAATTCAGTAGCACCTGGACTCTTTAATTCCCTCCAGTTCTGACTGATTTCTTTGCTCCCACCAGCTGGTATGAATGTGCCCAGATACTGTACAGGGACACCAGGCATGAAGTAGGAAAAACAGAGTTCTTTTCTTCCAGCATTACTGAAACCTCAGACCTGGTTTACAAAGGCACAAACACTGGGATAATCTAATACAAAGAAATCTGCTTTGTAGAGAAGAATGGACCGGAAGCCAGAGGAAGGCAGGGCCAGCTCAGACCAGACCATGGAGTCGGAATTCCTATCCAGTTCTCTTAACTCACAGCGCCGTCCGACTTACGCGGCTGACCTGGGACTGTGGGTTCTGTGGCATTGCTCCTCCATCAGCATAACCTACACTCCCCACGGAACTTCCCACCCCATTCCCGCAGCCCTTCTGTGTCCTGTTCACCAAACCGGTCGATGGCTACACCCACGGGGCAAGTGGGACGGAGGAAGGGCGTGGGAGAGCCTACAGGGCCCCTTCTGGTGAGGAACAGAATCGGGTCCACTCCTGCCACACAGCTGATGTGGGTAGGAGGAAATGGAAACAATCCACCTGTTGCTTTTCTCCTGACGGACCAGAAAGACCTGAGCTCTCTGGCTCAGACGAAAAGGGGAACAAGCTCAACATCTAGGTTTCTGGCCAAACCAGGTCTGAACTCATCAGGTCAGCAACCAACTTCACTCCAAAAGCATGCACTACTTCCTGGACGTAGCCGGCAGGATCTTCCTGCCTCTGTCTCCTCCAGTCCTCAAGGTTGATAAAGAGGGGGTCTTTAGTCTTGTCATACTACCTATGCCTTGTCTTCTGTCTGGACTTCCCATCTTCTTTCCTGTCTGGTGAATGCCTCTGTATCCTGTCAAACCCCAGCGAAATCCCACTGCCTCTGTCAATCCCCCTGACTGCCCCCAAGCCAAGCTAGTCACTGGCTTTCTTTGTCACCACTGTTACGTACCAGTAGCCCAGCTCTCTTATTAATGGAAATTGGAGCTAAGTTTGTATGGCTGAGACTGTGCCTGGTATACAGAATGTGCCCAGCAAATGTTTGCTGAACTAAATAGGATATGC